AAACAGAGCTTTGGTTCCATGGGTTGGATTACGTTTCAGGTTCAGTTCCACAAACGTACCAACCTCTTCATATATTTTGGTCACCGAAATGCCAATTATAAAGGATTTTAATATATGATTTGACAGGTGGCCTGTTAAATTGTAAAAAAAAAATGTTGAACCAAATGTGGACTCAGGAGTTGTGTTCACCAGAACCGGACCCAGTTGAACCCTAATTTCCAGTCCAAACCTTTTCCCAGGTTTGCATGGATTTTGATGATGGATCCATTTCAACTGAATGAGAAATTCTTGGTCCCAGACACGGTTTAGGAAATCAAGTCTACTTTATTCTTGTTACCCACCAGCAAGGCTCTATGGCCGGATGGGCTGTTGATGGGATACAATGGGGGCCCATCAGTAGTGAAGGTGGTCCAAGATTCCTTCTTGACGAGGTATTTTGAATCCAAACATGAAGCCTTTCATAGTCTTCTTTTGTTGAAACTTGAAAGCTACAGCTCTGACAACGCTTGCCAAATTCATTCCGTGAAGCAACGGACAACGCTTCTGTCATCTTTTTGGATCAACATGTCCATTTTAATGAATCCTCAGTCCTCACCATTCTGTATGTACAAAGGTCCAACTAGCTGCTGGTTCTGGACATTATTTGGGCCTTTGCATATTGGACCAGGCCACCACATTGGATTCAGATAGGATCCAGCTACATCCACATCCAATCCAATTATCAAATCTTTGGATCAGATAGGTCGAATGGTTACCCAACGGTCTGTAGTTGTGTGTATGGGGAACTTTGGCTGGCTGTCCACGGCCGACGTGCTCTCCTCGTAAGATGCATTAGTTCATAGAAAGTCACAGGCCCCTTGCGTCAGTACCGGTGCTGGATACATTGCTAGGTGGAGTTCAGATCTGCGTCTCACAAGGGGATGCCTCACAACGTCCCACAGCATATTTCTGCCGTGTATTGGGAATATCTCCCGATGATATCATTTTTGGTACATCATCGGAAGATGTTTCCAATATTCGACAGAAATGTGCTGTGAGACATTGTGGGGCGCCCCCTTGTGGAGTGCAGATGTGAACTCGCTAGGTGAATTAACGTGTCATGCAGGTTGCAGGGAGAGACCTGTTGGCAGCCAAGTTTTCTCCCTGTTGATAGGCCCTCTGACCTGGTTGGGCTTCATGGGCCTGAAGAAGTAGGGAATCCACTCCAGATCTCCTGCCCATATCCCTACCCACAAAGTAATGTTGATAACATCTATAGTTGCCTGCATGGTTTTAGAAATGGACTGGACATGGAATCATTCTGGGACTGGTTCTTGGGTCAAATGGTTCAACTGTTTGGTTTGAATGGATGGCCTGTTCTGACTTAAAAAATAAAAAACAGCCCAGGTTGACAGTTTGACCACCCGGGTCAGCGGGTCGCTGACCAAATCAATGGTTTTTGGCCAAAAAGCGGCTTTAGGGTGAAACGGAAGCCGAGTAAACCGGTCTGACCATCTAATCCGGTACGATCCAGTTTTTAAAACCATATTTTCCTATTTAACCCATGTAGTGTACTCTGAGTTAATCTAAACCTTGGTTTTGAATTTAAATAGGGGTGTCAATTGGACCAGATTTGGTCCAATATGAAGCCATTACAAATGAACTAGGTCCAATCCATTGAATACTTTGTACCATTTTGGACTAGTCCAGTTCAATGTTTGAACTATCCAATATGTTCAAATTGGTTTTTGATGAGGGGTAAAATGACCCTCTAATTACAAGCTGCCACGTGGTGGCCAAAACTGTCCTATGACATCTCGGCGTCACATGTGGCATGACCTTGTTGGTATGGTCTTTGACAGATCGGCTTATGCCACTCGGGATAACATCGACCTCGCTTAATAACAGTTCAACATATCGGCATGCGGAATCCTCTAGGCAGTCCTAAGCAACTACGACCTGCCTCTCCAACCCAGGAAAAAGACGACCCGATGAGTCAAACAAACCACGGGAGCTCCAACCTACATGGCATGTCTTCCCTTATCCGCTCGCATCACTTGACGCCTCCAAAATGCACTGCAACACGTCACCCACCTAGCAGCAGTACGCTCAATTCCTCCTGCTTCTCGGGGAACTTGATAAGGGTCAATGCGACGCTGTGCGGGAATACTCCACAAATAGCGGACAGATAAAGCCTATCACCTCCAAACATGCTGGACATGCTTTGGTCGAACTTCACCACCTATATAAGGCTGACTCCTCGCCCTCTAACAATATGCTTACACTATCACTCTCACTCTCTAGCTTTCTACTCTGAATCCTTGCCTACCAGCTCTCATTCCATCAATCAGTTCGGTACTAACTTTACCATCGGAGCACTCTCACCCAGGTCATCCCTCTCGGGATCTCTGAACACTGAGTTTTTAATAGCAAGAAAGAGAGTGAATCTGACCAGCACATCACCCTCAACCAACCTTCCAAAACCGTAGTAGACAAAGCTTTGAAGATAGCTATGAACTCTGTTTCCTCTACAGTTCCTTTAGAGCCAAAAGAACCACCATTATGAACCCAACCAATCAAAATAAACAAATCCAAATGTACTGGGCTGGAGAGTTGGCCAGACCTTCATCACAGAATATAACATATTGAACATCAGATGGAATAGTAATACCAGAACCAGTATCACACTATCACTATAGACTGGAGACTGAGACACATTAAAGGAAGCAAAGGGCAATTGAAATGAGGAAGAACTCTTATTTAAAATCCAAAACACATCCATCAACTTATCATTAAAGACCATCTCATTTCTGAAAAACCAAATACAATAACTAGCAATTGCTATCCAATAGAGAACATCAAAAATAGTATTTTTACTTGACAAAGATGTAATGAGGTGATGAAGCCAATGTGAGACCGAAAAGTTCTGCATATCCTACAGTTGGAGAGACCACGGAGACCCGAACCAAATAACGGAAGCCAATGGACAATGATAAAGCAGATGATCCACTGGTTCCTGATACGCCTCTTCAGGGAGTGTTTCAGGGTCTAACCCAGTTCAAGGGACAGACGGGCCTTAAACCGACCCCTCTGAATGAGGTTGGAAAAAAAGCTTAAAAAAAGGGGGAGCAACAAATGATACAGTCCGATACGCCCCTATTGGCATATCGGACTGTATCGATATTTTGAACCTTGCTGGGTAAAGACCTACAATAGCAGTCCATGCCTAGTAAGAGAACCATTACGACCCCTTGTCCATGCCTATTGGACCTCAGAGTCCTCCGTATAAATGGAAGTATTTCTTATACTCGCTATTATTCCTTCCGGGAACAGACTGTGAAGTAAGTGTAAGTTCCAAAGCCCATAGTCCCCAACAAAATTGGATATACTGCAGAAAAAGGCAGCTTTCCTTTTAATCCTAGAGGGGAATAGAGGCTTACAAGGGCTTAATCTCACAAATCTGAAAACATGATTCCAATTTCCAAAGGAGCATTGGCTTTGGCTTTTAAAAGCTACATGCTTAATGATACTTGGTGCAAGGTGTCCCAGCCGTTGTTGATATCAGATATCAATGACATGGCAAAGGCAGTAAGGAACTATCTTTGGTCAACTGTCCTTCCAATATTGCTTGACATATGACATCTCTTCCTACAAGAGACAAACTATTAACTTGGGCTGGGCATTTTGGGTCAATACAGGTTCAACCCAAAGAATGGACATCAAAGCCCAAGGCCCGGCCCAATTTGAGGTAGCCAGGTAGACCTAGATTTTCAGGCTGAGGCGACCCAGGCCTCTATCCCTTAGCTGGATTTGGGTTGGTTGGGTTGGGCCTTTGAGGCTCGAATATTCCCAAAGATTGAAAATTAATAAATCTAATAAATCTTATTTTTCGTTGTTTCAAATTTCAATATAAAGAAAAATGTTTCTTTTTATTATTTGTGTGTTACTACGAGAATGAATTTAACCTTTTTAGATTTGAATTGTCCGAAACCCAAATCAGATTTTTTTTTAATATTGCACGATTCAAAGCTGTCAGGCTCCAAGATTTGAACCAGGGTCAACTCTAAAAAGGGTATTAACAATTGAACATGACCATTACTCCTAAGGCCGTGTTTGGAAAGAATACAAATACAAATATTTACAGTGCAAAAACAGAAAATACAAGATTTTGTACCCTACATATTTGTATTTCTACTCTTTCCAAACTATGCCTAAATTTCAATGTATGCACGCATACGTTGCGTTATTTTGAACCCTATTAGCAACCAGTCACTTGAGTCAATGGTACTTGTTTGGTGAGACCAGTGAATAATTAGCTCAGTAAGAAATGGTCCTGAATCTCCCATTTCTCTAGAAGAATTGTAAGAAGGGATAAGTGCTTTGGACATATCCAAAAAGTTGATGACCTCTCAAAGTTCCTTTGGAGGTCGCACCATCATCTTGATCTAATCTAGAAGCTTACTTGAAAACATTCTACCAAATGGCCAAACTAGAATCTCAAGGAAACAATACCAAAATCAGGCAGTATTGCTGTGACAATTCCAACCTATCAGTTTATAACAGCAAATTCCTGCATTGTTTCTCAATCCGTTTGTTTTTTCTTTTGGCAGACTGAAAGCCTGCTTAAAGTCTGAATCGATATCCTTCCGTGGTCTCAAAGACCCGTGACATTTCACAATTCACACCAGACCAAATTCATGGGTAGAACAGATGCACCGGGCTCATCCGGAGGCTGCTGCTTAGTTTCCAATCCTTCTCACTTATTCATGTAAATAGACGGTTAAATCCAATGGCCCATCCTTTTGCTTACTTTGCTGGTAAGGGTAAAAAAAAGACCCGTGACAAATAAATCTGAACCGTGAAGCTTTGCAGTCACCACGGCCAAGTGAAAAAAGTACAACCTGAGTTGATTTTCTACCTTTTGCTTACCTCTTTTCTGTGATTACTGAACATGGAGATTTACAATTGGATAATAAAAGGGCATTCAGAAACTCAAATGCTGTAAGATACTGAGAGAGAGAGAGAGAGAGAGGTGATTTTCTACCTTTTATTCATGTAGTCTATGGTACAAAGGACCGAATTCTATCAAAGAATAAACAAGGGAAGCAGCAGACTGACGACTAACCTTTGAGAGTGGGAATAGCCCACTTCACTCACAAGAATTGACTGATCAACAAAAAATTTACATTAAAACTACCTAATTCCTCTGCTTGGTCTGCAGGAAAGGCCCCCTGCCAAAGACAAAAAAACACCCCGGCCGAGAACCCAAGAATCTGAGCGTGCCAGTGCCCCAATTGGAGGCCTGCACAAAGAATCTGATTTTCTTCCTTCTAAACTCACCCTGTTAATGGTTATCGCTGTTCCCAGAGTCAATTTTGGCTTTACGTATTTGTTAGAACCCCCTCATTAGAGAAATGAATTAGCGAAGTCAGGCTCTAGAAGAACGCAGGCCCATTGGATTTATCATCACTCTCCGAAAACCAACTACTTGATCCAGTTGGTTCTCCCCCACTAGGATATGACGGGCCTCTGACTTTCAAGCGCTTTGGCCCAATCTCAATAGGTGGTGGTTCCCTCGTGGTCTGTCCAACATAGTCCTCAAAATTCTTTCTGATATGTTCTCTAGGGTTCACTCTCACAATATTATCATCATCCTTGTAAACCACCTTCAAGTCTGTCAGCAACGGCCTGGACTTCATTGAAATGGAAGTAAAACTTCCCCCAGAAAACCTGTCTTTTGGACCAAAACCTGAAACTTCTTTAGAGTTCACACTGGGACTAGCATGTCGCTCTGCCTTATCGGTTATGTATCTGTCAGATGATGATGATAGACCAAATCTTCCTTCAGGATGGAGTCGCTTCAGCCTTTTAAGCCCCTGCAAAGAATAGAGAAGAAAAAAAGGGATTGTAAATTCACATGCTGAATGAGCATTCATCCCAACAAGGAAATTCTGAATACAGAAGATTTCAAGCTACAAGAGACTCCAGATATTTAAATGGCAGGAATGGGATCATGAACTAAAATTGAAGAGAGAGGGATACAATAAACGATTTGATAGACCTAAAAGAATTATTTTATAAAAATAACCAAATTATGTATGGATTTCATCATAATATAGCAATTGTGTCTTAATCATAGATATAAAAACCACCAGAATCTCATGTCCACACAATGCAATTCATACTGAAACTCCAAAACTAAGCCTAGAATCAAGAATTCAAGAACTCAAGAATAAAAGAAATGTCAGACTGGAAAATGATCTCAGTGGAGGGTTCAACCATCAAGATCTCTGAACATCCATCTAAATGGCATGATTTTGGCCAGTACTAATAATTATAGGCCTCCATTATTTGGACCTTCGATGGTCCACATAATCGAAGATATTTGAAGCATCATTTAACAATGAATACCTTTTTCTCTTGCATATATCACCTAGATACATAGATTCTCAAGCCCACTTAAGACTCCAAAGTATATACAGGAACCAATGCCACTCTTCAGATATAAGCAGCATTCCACAAAATAGAAACTGTGGTGGTAATGCATGTTTATGTGTCCACATGCATAGACATTTATATCCATACAAATGGTCTGTGTGTGTGTGTGTGTGCAAAGATTAGTTATAAACATAAAACAGTAGAAAAACTTTTCTTCTTTGCAATGGGTAGCTTTATGATAGTATGATACACAGGCAAGGTTGCTCAGAACACGAGTACAGTACATTCTATCTGGGAAGACCACAATTGTGCAAAACAATATTTGATTTTTGTTTCATCCGTTAAACAAGGATTACAAAACTAGATGAAACAATTAGCAACAACAAGAATGGACAATTCGAGAAGCACAACACAATTTACCCAATAATTCCCAAAGGTCTTCACTATAATGAAAATATCTATCTTTACAATTACGAGGCCACCATGTACCACAGCGATAGAATGTATCAGGTTCAAATTCAAGGCATCTATATTAAAATGCTCACAAATTGTTGGTGAAAGTAAATTTGAGAGGTAGATGATGCCAAAACGTTCTAAGCTTGGCTACACTTCATATTTCCCATTTTCTGTTTAAATGTAAAGTCCATGGCCACATAAACCTGGGCTTAATCAGTAGGGAACCAAAAAGAATAATTACCTAGAAATCTGCATAATAACCATAGAACAAGACTTTAGAAAACAATGAGATCATAATGGGGTACTCTATATCTACTCCCCATTCCAGGACTTCAATTAGTAAGACAAAAGTCAATTGCAAATCAAAATAATTTGGAAGAAATTACCAAATATGGAAACCATAAAACTATGCAACCGAATAAACCTAATCACCCACTAAACCACCTAAATATATTTTACTTCAAACCGCTGACATTTACTACCCTAAAAAGAACAAAATCATCAAGTAAAACATCTTAATCTTACAGCTGACTAAACTTACAACTACCAAATTGACAAACATAACAAAGAAATATTAATACAAATACAAAACATGCTGACTATAGAAACTCAAAAACCAATTAGTTACTAATTTAGTGTGTACATGTATGTATGTGTGTATATGTCAGCGTTGCATGGACACAGACAGGGAGTCAGAATCCAATGCATGTCAGAATCTGACTTGAAAAGATGAGAAAAGTATACACTATTAAAATCGTTCAGATTTTTTTGAATTCTAACATTATATACCTACAAAAAATGTTGTCTTTGTTATTAAGTTGTGCTTGATACAAAAAAACGGATTCATCTTGTAGATTAGATGTCATTTATGTTGAATAAACTAAAATAAGCTAGGAGATTAAAAGGAATGTTAAGTAGAAGTGCCCTCATGAATCCATGGACTGTCAGACTTGATGCACGTCTGATACAACACACCATCCATCTACTAGAGTACATTCAACACTGGTATATGTACATGGTAACTTCTTCAAACTTCTATCCATTTTCCTCAGCTTCCCCAAGTGAATAAAATCAATAACCCTTGATTGCTCTACATAAAATTAAAAGAACACCAGAAACAAACAACAAAAATTAGCTAACCAAAATACAACTTGAGCTACTTTCCTTAGTACCCAACAAAGATAATCTATGAAGCCAGAAAGATATAATATCGTAAGATAATATACGAATGCCACCTGATTGGTTATCACTTTTATGGTACTGGTTGATTTCATTATAAGTTTTTCAGGTATCATAGTTGAGACTTGGGAGTTGACATAGGCGCCCCACAACACATCCCAACCATGTATGGAAACATCTCCACATCTCCCAATGACAAGTACGGGAGATGTTCCCAATGCACGCTGAGATGTGCATGTGGGGCACTTGGGGGGTGCTGATGTGATCTCCATAGTTGAACCCTTCAACAAAATGTTGAGCCTAAAAATGATAATATGTTGTTTTGCTAAAACTTTCATCTCCATCTTCCTAAGTAGAACATATAATCAACCCTCTCACATTTATTCTCTATACTATATTTCAAAGCTCTGATTATCCACACTCAATCAAGCAGAAGCTCCATCAACACCTCCAGTATCTTAATTTATTTAATGAAGCAATCTCAGGAACTTCAAAAGATCAATATACTCTACAATTTTGGATCATGTTAGCCGATCATGTTAGCCAACATCTTAAATCTGTAATTTAAATAATACCCCTCAAAGAGGGATTACTTTGGATACATGACAAATATAGTTGGTTGAAACTTGCCCCATGAATATGGGACAGTGAAAGGAAAACAAGGGGTCAAATTGAGCTCCAACCTAATCTTCAGTTGCCTCAAAAAAAGATGATACCATCTAGTTACTGTATTGGTGATGCAATGATCTCTATATCTCTAATTAAAGCTCTGAAATAGTACCAATCAACTCAGAGGGACAGATACTTTACAAATTAAAAGATGGCATTAACAAATGGGATGGTATTCATGAGAAAATATTGTACCAGATAACACAAGATGTAAAATCATCTTCTGGAAATTTTGAATTTCAAAATGTAAATCTTTTAGGCATATTGTGCAGCCAAGAGGTTAGAATATTAAACTGGACAAAAAAGTAAGAAAGTCATAATGTGAATGTAGCAGTGTTTTAAAAGCACAAGGGGCAATTTGTGCCTGAGGCGCAAGGCGAGGCACGTGCCTTTTTGAAGCAAGGCGCAAAAATACAAAAAATGCTAAAAAATAAAAAAAAAAAGTCAGAAAATTCAAATGAAAATTTAAAAACAAAATTAAACATATAAAGCATTTTCAAGTATGCAAAACCCGCAATCTTTTTTTTTTTCCTCAATTGCATTACTTCAAGTAGCTAAAGTGATGTAAACCATATTGCATTCCTGATTCTATGAGCCGCCTTTGTAACACAATGGAAGATAGTTTCAGCATAGGAACAATTTCATAAAACTAGACAGATATTATGGTATGTCATATTTTTTTCTCCATCTTATGTAAGAATATTACTATTGAACTATGGAGAATTATAAAAAAGAAGGAACAAATAGGGATAAGCAGAGGAATACAACACACAGTTTAGAGAGAGAAAACGGTGTCATCCTTGAGATGTAAAAGAATCTAAGAGAAGACACTACAAGCAGGCCCAGATATATGCCATAAAAAAATGCACTGATTAATTTACCTGCTGCTCAGAAAACTTTGAGCTCAATACATTGTTAACATTTCTTTTCTCTATTTTCACAGATGATCTACGTTTAACCCTGAATATTTCTGAATCAGAATCCTCACTGCATTGATCCTGGAAAGGTGGGGAAGAATCATGTATGTTGCCTAAAACCACTTCTGAATCCTTAGTAGAAATAAAATTTGCACTACTGGAATTCACATGCTCCTGTACAATAGAACATCAAAAAGGATAACATTCTTCAGTCAAATACAGAATTAAAATAAAATCATGTCCTCCCCCAAGTGCATAGAAGAGAACTAAAGGAAAACAAAAAAAAAAAAAGAAAATCCTAAAACCAAAATAATTTGCCTACATTAGTACATTTAAACCCCTGAGAGAAGATGCCTCCATTGTTCAAATAGGCAGAGGTTTTCTGCTCTGGCACATTGCTGTTGGTAAATTGTTTCTCCTGCTTCAACATAGGCAAGCCATAAGAACCACATTCTGGATCTTGTGATTGGTCCTGACTAGTGACCATGATTTCAGAATTCATTTCAAATTTAATCTCACAATATGGAACATATCCATCCTCTCCCATGCATGGAAACAAGTCAGGTTGGGGAAAGCCACCCCCGCATTTAATTTGCTTTTGAACCTCCTCTAGTATTCCTTCTTCCTGCTCAAACACCTGGGCTACAGCTTCCATTTCTAAAAGATCCTCCCTTGTAGCAAGGACATGATTATTCCCACATGAGCAGTTGAGTGATGCAATGTCTGGATCGCACAATTAGTTAGATATTAAATAGAGCCAACCGAATGTTGGACAGCATAAGCAACTTTCACCAAATGGGTTATAGATGCAAGCAACAAAAGAGCAATGTTTAGGAAAACTCGTGTGAGAAGTTCATACCATGACGGAGGCAGACAGGATGCAAACAATAGGTGCAATCAATATATGCCACGTAGCAATCACGTTTGCACAGACTGCAGAGTATAGTTCCCTGGGAGTTTGTAGAAATGCTTGTACAAGCTCCTGATTTCATCAATGACCAGCGGACTTTGTGCTGGAATCGCATTAGGTACACAAATGATACCTTAATGCAACGATGAGAGACCCCATCTCCAGAGGAATTATCTGGCTCCTTGATTTGAGGCATTGATGAACTGCTAGCAAGAAGCATAGCTTCTTTACACAGAAGTTCCTCATGAGGAAGGAGAGGCACCCGTCCAAGAAGTGCATAGCGTTGGCTAGCAACCTCACCCAATGAAAACCAATCACCCATTGCAAAGTTTACAGCCTCACCACAGTTAAAACCTAAAGTTCATAAAGATCAAGACAAAAAAAGAGTTGGATGAACCTCAACTAGGGAAAATAACTGTATGCCATGGAAAAGGAGGCAGACAGAGGGTAAAATAATGCTAGAACATCTTACCGTGACTAAACCCTGCATGGTATGACCTAGGAAAGGTGATAACAAACTCCCCAGGCTTTTGCACAGCTTTGTAGACAGGGACATCATTTTCTAACAAAATATTTGGCGGAAACATGGTTGTTTTCCCCAAAAGAATATCAAATGCTCCATCCTCTCCATCAGTAGATAGAATATTACGAGTGTATACACGTTCTCTAACTGCCTTCTCAAATTTCAAAGCTGCGTGTCCAGGAATGCCATACCAAGTTTTTGATGCTCCACAGTGTTGATAGTTAATGCTACCAGAGGAAAATTAAAGCAGACCAAAGAATACGAGTTCAGCAAAAAGAAAGAAAAAAAACATAACAATAAAATCAGGTATAGAATACGAAGCAAGACCTTTTATACATACCTATACAAGTAATGATCTTCGACATGCCATGCAAACATACTGAATAGCATTCCAATGTAAAGCATTGGATCAGTTACTCCCTGAAACGAATCAATGGATGTTACAAATGGACTAAAAGAACACTAAAACTACTGCCAAATCCAGCAAGTTCAAAAAATGTATCTCAATACCGGAATTACAGTTCCCAGAAGACGCAATACAGACTTGGGCAGCCGAGAAAGAGTCTGACATTGTAGCCACAGATGATAGATGAATTAGATAACCAGGTATTACATGTCACTAAAAAAGCAAGCCAAGATCAAAACTATTATTCTAATAATTAATTTAGCTTGATGCTGTAAAGCATGTGTATGAATGACTTGAAACCATCAGAATGCTGTGAACATGTGACACCTTTTTAGACTACTAAAATGAGAAATTGTGGTACAATGAGTAGTTACTTCCCAAGAAAACAGGAAAACTACTGAGAGGGAGAAAGAGCGCTGTTTACAGGACATTTGATAAAAATGAGGGAAGAGGAAGTAGGAACAAAATGAAGTGATGCCATCACATCACCATGACAAATTGAAAATCCATTTTCCAAATATTATTTATGCAAAATGAGAAAAGACCTCTACCAGAAGAAGGAACAAAACGGGGAAAAGAATGGGGAAAAGTAAAGGAATCAACACCTTCAGGTTCCATTTGCTTTTTCCAAGCTCATCATTAGGAGAAGATGAAAAGGCACTACCATCAACATCGCATGCATACTCAACAGTTTCTGTCTTGCCACAAGTTATTTCATGCCAAAATTCTTTTTCCAAGTATGAAGCGGGAAGACATCCAGCACTATAATATCTACGAGCAAACACCTTGTTTGCCATTTTCTCGAAATCACGGAATGTATAATTCCTGAAAGATCATGCTGATGCTCAAAAACTGTCTAAAAATAATGAAAGAAAAAAAAAATCCTTTGTTTTATTTATGAGGTTACCTTCCGCTCATGAAAAACGTGATCTTATCATCCTCATCCCATTCAGCAAGCCGAAGAGGTTGAACTCTAGTTGTAAACTTGAAACCAGCTTTCTCCTTCATCAATACAACACCAGCAGGAACAGAAGCATTCAAAGGGGAAACAATCTTGCAAATGCCTAATGACAACAGTAATTTAGATTTTTGGCAAAACAACATACTTAGAATTAAATAAACAGGTTGCTTCAAGACACCCCAACCACCAATATTTGATATTCTTCTCATGTCAGAGAAAGTGAAGCAAATTACAATACTGGAGGAGAAAAAAAATTTAACCAAGTATCATGAGATACTAACACCAATTGAACAATGTGGAAGACAGCCAAATTTGCAAGTTAAATCAGTTTGGTATAGAGGTTTTTTGGCTCTTTTGATTGTACATCCTATCATGTACATTTCCCCTCCCCTTTTTGCCTTGCAATGAAAGTAAAAAAAAGAAACTCATGCATTTTCTAGTAAATTAGATTTGCATACATGTACTTTCCTCAAATTTAGGATTCATGTTAAAGAAACTTTTTAAGAGATTTGACTGTCCTAAATAGGAGTGGGTGGATGACTGAATATAGTTTTACTTGTTCGCTTTAGAAAACTGCCAGTGGTGTTGACACCACTTTATCTTTAATTTTCTCCACAAGTTGCAACGTTCTTGAAGCAGAGGTTGATGTTGACCCTACCATAAGAGCATTGAATCCATGTCACGCCCAGTCTGAAAAGGGATTCATTCTAACTGCTAAGTGGTAACTAATCTTTTGATGAATCAGCAGAATTTTGCAATAATATCATTAACATTTATAAGACCCATAAACTAGAAGGTATTTATGGCTTTCTAAGGTATCCAATAAATTATTTCTTACAAGAAATTTATATCAATATAAAATAAGAAAAATTTAGAGAATATGTAAATTGATGTACATAAATGTAATGGCAGTCTCCCTCACCCATAAACTGTAAATGTGCCACACACACACACACATATAATATATGTGCATACATGTATATGTGTGTATATATATATACACACATATATTATATATTACAGAGATGTGAATGTTAATAAGCTATGTTACCCAGATAGGCAGTGTCACATATAGAATTCACACTAAAATTTGAAGTATCCAACATGATACCACACCCTTGTGCCCGAATCCAGGTATCAAAGTTGACGAGTGGTAAAACTAAAGAAAAGGATTAGAAATGAGTATATGCATAAGCATGGCCGATGATGAAGATACAAAGTATGTCAATGAATGAATTAGCCAATTTCTAACCCGATAGTTGGAAAATGAAGATTCAAGAAATGAAAGTCATATGACAAACATAGAAAATCCATGAGCAAATTAACAATGAATGTGATGATATCAAACCAAAATCATGAAACAGAGCTAGACTCAATGGCAATTTATCATCATAGCTATCAGTTAAAGAAAATACCATATTTTGAAGCTTCTGGAGCAATCTTTTGCAGATAAGTTAAAGGATCCTCAAACTCCTCTTTTGTTGGACAGTATATGGGGCATTCTGGGATTTTATCAATCCATTCAAGATCGGTTGTGTCAAATTTGTCCACCTTGCGCTTTGATGCACTACTAGGTCGAGGAAACCCATCTGGATAACCATGCAACCTCAATCCACATGATGCAGATGCTCTTAGAGAATCGCCTCCACTTCTAGTCATCATTTTAGAAACATTTGCAACTTCAGGAGCATTTCCTGAATTCATCCGTTGAAGCCTTTTAAGCCTCAGAATTTCTAGCCCATTTTTTGCCTCTTTGGATAAACAAACCCTTCCTTCCACCTGTTCAACAAGTAAATGAAGATTAGAAAAAATGAATATTATGTAACAGGATACCTCAGTTGGAGAAAGACTACAAGGAAAATTGTTAATTTTTAACTTACAAGAACAATGGTGCTTCTTGAATAAAAAACAACTTATTCGTATTTGGTAAAAAACAACTTATTCTCCCCTGTATTCCCAGTGTATCCCACTGAATAGAGCCTATTATTGCACATAAATGCATTGGAAGTTTGGAACTATATGGTAAAATACATTGCAACGTGCAAATATTGTGCACTTAAAAGCTTTCTTTTTCCTATTATTCTTCTTGAGAAAGGAAGAAACCTGAAGAGAAAAATTACATCTTTGCCTCCTTCCGTAGGCCAAAAACCATCTGATCTATTCAAATGCATATATGTAGGTATCACATTAGAATTTTTCAAAAGGAGAAAAAAAAAGGAGAGAGAATTAGCCATATGGGAAAAAAATCAAGGGATACAAATTATTGATCTATCAATCCAAACAATCGTCATCTCATATCCGAAGGGCTGAGAAGCCAACGAGAGAGAATCACGGTTTGACAACATTTCTTAAAATTAGATGTTATAACAAGAATTGATGTGGTTAAATTAAAAAATAAAACAGGACATGGAAAGCATATGCATATAAATAAGAATTAAAGTTTCTGCTTAACAATTACAAAAGTTTTGGTCCTATATTGCAAGCTGGAATGTTTAAGGGGCACTTGCACTGCTGCAATGAAAATGCAATCGCGTATGCAGAGACCCCATAACCTGCTCCTCTGAATAATACCATGAAACGCACTGGAAATGCATTGGTCCATCAGTAAGCACATAACTTGCACCCGTGTGTAACACTCATTTTCCAGGCTAATTGTTGAGAAGCAAGTTCTTAAATAAAACAGTGAGTATAATCCTTATAAATTCAATAATTATGAGCTGTGCAATAGTCCTATACCTCGGTGCAATTCAAGCCAAAAAGCGTTCAATTAAGGCAAAAAACATAATAATAATGCAATTGAAGCTAACACTGACATTATCACCAAGCACAACGCTTCTCTTTTTAAAGTTTAAAAGTTTTCAGTAAAAAATAGTTTGAGAAAAAGGCAGAAGAAAACGCATCCAGAGCAGAAAACCCAGAGACGAAAAAAAAATAAAAATGAAAAAACAAAAGAAAGGAAGCCATTACGAAACTTCATAATGGCATTGATCCCGTAAAGATAATAAGAAACTATCCTTGAGAATTCAAGCTTCCTCCAGATCAAACATACGAAAAAAAAAAAAGAGAAGAAAACACCTGCAACTACCGGAACCGGAAATTAACCACCAAAGCTAGACAATATCTTAGATCCAAACATCCAGAGAATAAGAGGAAAAAAAGTCAAAAACCGAACCAAAATCTTCAAAAAAAAAAAAAGGAAGAAAAAAAGATGCACCCACAACACATAAACAGTAAAGACAAACAAACCCAAAAAAAGCAGAACAAAATCCAAACAACCTACCATTTCATACCGGACGCGTTCTCTTGACCTCTCCGTTGTGTCTCACCTCGCCACCAAACCAAACCCCTGAAAGTAAAAACCACGAAACAAGCCCTAAAACACGATATCCACCATGAACGGCAAAGCTCACAACTTCTACAACAACCCAACAGGCCACATTCCTCAAAACCAAAAATAATCGCTTGGGAAACCGAGATCCAACGCCTTTATCTTCACCAACAATGAGTCTTCAGGAAAATTCAGTAGTTCCTTCAAGAGGAAGGAACGAAATGAGCAAGGACGAGAAATTTCCCGCCCTAAAAAGTGGTTTTCCGGCGAAGAAAAGGAGGTTTTCCGGTGGAAGGAAGGAGAAGAGAACAGTAGACCAATCAGATACGAGACTTAGAAAACCGGAAAAATGGAAAGAATGGATTACTTATAGTTTTAAAACCGAATTAACTCCTTTGATTAATCGATTCAGATATTAATTTGATTAATGAATCATTTAATTAATATAAACAAGTATGAAGAGAAAGTGGTGGTGGTTAGGTGGTTCAACCAAACACTCCCCCCGTCCGGCCAAAACGCGTTTGGCGTTGTCACGTTTCTCAAACTTTTCGTTCCCGAATTAAATTATTTGGTTAAAAAATTATCATCACCAAACTACCCTCGATCAGCTACCGCATTTGTGAACTCCTCCTACGGCGGAAAGTGTGGGTAGTTTCGTCATTTAGTAAAGAAGCTTCTGGTTATGTGGACGGCGTTACCGAAGCGTTCAGATTCCTGTTACAGTCAGAACAGGAAAAGAAAAGGCTTAAAAAAAATAAATTGTCTAGTGTATCAAATTAGCATTAGAATACCCGTAGATATCTCAAATTATCCGTCCAATTGTCGCCAACGAGAATCAGAGAAAGAAGATTTGCCAGGAAAACAAGATCAGATTGACAGATTCTTTTTGGACGGGTAGATTTGGATTTCGGATTGGGATCAGAATGGGTTGGAAAAACATAAGATCAGAACGATGGCACGGATGGAATTGGACACCTGGCTCAATAAAAGGAAGGAGTACAGAGCACGTGGCAGTACGACAATGCTTTTACTGTGTGCGGTTCGCGGGAAGTGGGAAAACTGCCAGAACGGAATTAGCTGGCGATTACAGCAGGTTTCACGCCATATGACCGGCCAGCTTTCCGCTTTCACGAGCCCTAAATTACTTCCATTTCCAATTTTTCACCAAAAAAGAAAAAAAAAAAAAAATCTAAACCAGCCGGGTTTCCGGTTTACGGTTTTGTCCGAGCGGTTATCGTTGTGGGCGGTTTTACGACCCATGTGACGGTTTGTTTCGCGCTCTTTTTTCTTGTATTTGTTTGGTTGCTTTTGTTACGCGGAGGTTGGTCTAATCATTAGGTTTTTCTCTCTCCAGTCAGCGAAAGCGAGGCTTCGAAGGGATTTCGGTCCTTGTCGGTTCGGCGGCTTTACGGGTCAAACTGTGGATCGGCTCGGCGGCTTTAGTTTCTTCAAGTCGGCTCGCTTCGCTGGGGTTTCCTCTTTTAATACATTTTCATGTTTCCGAGTCGGATAAAGAAGGGGTTTTTCTATTTCCTCTGTTATAAAGTGACAAATTTTCACTTTTTTATATTTCGCGCGTAACTGCCAATAAATTAAATAAATGCACCTGTAAATTTAACGATCTACGCACCTAACTACCTGAATCAACGCAAAATCACAAATTTACGCTTTAAAGTAATGAATGTTACAATGCTACAATTACACAAAATGGGCTCCATTATTTTCAAAAAGTGACACGTCAGATGGCACTTTTCTGATGTCAGATTGAAATCTACGCATCGGTTTGTTTGGGTTTGGATTGAACCGGACTCGATCCGCTAGTTGGATAAATTTATCCAACCCGCCTCATGTACATTGTCACTAAATTTATTTTTTTGGGCAGAACATACCGCTATTGTACAGTTTTTTTCTCTGCAAGAAGGTTGGTCTTGATGTGGGCCAATCCAAGTCAAACCCGATTAAGATTGGCCCGAACCCGAACATTCGACCAGTTTCATTATCACACCGACCACGAAGCGGTTGTCTAGATTTCCTAATACTATTCACCAAACAGAACAAAACTAGGGTTTGACAAACTAAATTAACTAATTGGTGAAAAAAAAGGAAAAAAAAGAAAGATGAGGAAGAGTATTTGTCGTTAGATGGTTATAGATTCTTATGCCCACAAAGGCTGGAACACAAATGGAACAAGTGGATATGACTTTCGGATTTGAGGCCCAGTTGGTCAGTAGGAATTAAGAAATGGGGCCCGGATTAAAATAATTAAAAAATAATTTCACATAGAATTAATTAATTAATCATGAATAAAATAATTAAAATGATTTCAGTGCCGCTCAAGGGAAAATATACAACATGCAGACGGTTGGAATTTCGATGAGAGAAGTAGCCACGTGGCAAGTTGGGGTGAAGCTATTTGGGGAATAAATGATTGCCCGTTTTCAACTCCACCAGGAAGAGAGAGTCAAGTTGATAAACAGAAGAACCTCCAGCCTCCACGGGCCAAGGGCCCACGGCTACAACAATTATTTGATGCCCATGCCCTAAGGTTTGTTCTGTAGGTTTGGCTTGGGATTTGGGAATCTCCCGCTTGCCGTGATTGGCTATGGAATCTTATCCTTTGACATCTCCACGTGTTCGAATCCTTTTTCAAGGTTCAAGTAAGAAGTACCTAATCAATGGGGTGGGCCTACATTAATGGAACTGACGCAGTGTGTCGTGATTACGGGTAGAAACCGTAGAATTTTAGAGGATTAGAACTCAACTCCCTCTCCAAACACAAGGTTGACCGTACCGTCCGTGAGGAACAACCGAACACACGTACTGGGAGTTCGGATCTGCTTACCACAATTCACTACGGCCGTATACTGAGAACATCTCGTTCTCCCTGAATGCCACCATTCATGTACAAGGGATGTTCCTATGTGCGGCTGTGGGGTCTTGTGACCAGCATTTTATAGTCGTCTAGAAACTGATGTCAATGTATCTACAAAGTCTGGGTAGGTATATTTTTTTGCCCGAAAATCAATGATATTTAGATAAATTTTTCAAAAGTACTTTTGATTTGTGTCATTTGATCCCAACATTTTTTATTTTTAATTTCATACTTTTATTAAGTATGAGAAAACATGAAAAATACAAAAATAGGCTTTTGATACTTTGTCCTTTTGGCCCAATATATTGATCCAACCCTATCAAATCAATTTTGACATAGCTTGGGTTATATTAATAAGGGAAATTTCCACTTTAGTATCCAATTTTGGGGTAGTGTCAAGTTAGTACCCAAACTTTTAAACATTTCACTGTAGTATTTAAATTTTGAAAAACTGTTAAGTTGGTCCTGTTGTTAATCAATCGTTAGTTATCTATTAAAACTATCATTCAAAAGAAGACACAGTTTATTGTCTTTTATTCTTCTACCTTGAGACTGAACCATAGAAAAGAACATATGACGTGTAAACTAATTAAAACAAATTAAAACAAAGAGAGAACCGAAAGCAACTCGTCTATATCATCGAGTGTCCAGTATTCCTATCTAAAAGCAAGAACACAGAGACACCAACACCATAATATATCTTTAATTTTCTTTTTTGTATTAACAAACAATGAAATTAAAGAAACACGGTGATTATTAGATCAAAAGTTGAAGCTTAAGCCGTGCAAAGAGAAGATTTAACACATATTTTCTATCTTCAATCTACTAGAATTCACTCATCAATTCTCTTCGATCAGCGTCGCATACTCGCATGTGTAGACATTAGTCCATTGGGAACAAGTGATGAATTGAAAGCTGAACAATTGATCCAATCCTTCAGAAGATCCTCCTGCACCCATATATCTAGTATCCAAATATGACCAACCACCTCAATCCGATGGTGGTGGTTGTTAGCGATGGGCCTTGCAATTCTTAAACCTAGTCCTCCTCTTGCTCTTGGGGTTTACTAGGTTCTAAAGAAAGTGGAACCTCCAGTGATGCACAAGCATCAACAATTTCTCTTTCAACATCAATGGTGGTGGTAGTGGTCGGCGATGGGACCTGCAATTCTTCAACTGGGTTCTCCTCTTGCTCTTGGGGTTTACTGGGTTCTAAAGAAGTTGGAGGAATCCAGTGGTTAGAGTTACTCCAATTTCGACAACTCATTGTGTTGGGTATATAATTTTCTAATGAAAGGAGAATAGTTTTGTGTTCTTTGTCATCTTTGTTTTCTAGTGCAACAATATCGAAGGAGAAGCTTTGGAGATGATATGTATATATACAGAGAGAGAGAGAGAAAGCGCTTCATGTGTGGGAGCAAGCCTCTATGGGAAGAAACGGGTGAGGTGTCAGTTTACACATCATATGTTATTTTTTGTGGTTCAATCTCAAGATAGAAGACAATGAACATTGTCTTCTTTTGAAGGGTAGTTTTGACATTTTCAATAGATAGTTGACGATCAATTAATAACAGGAACTAACTTGACACTTTTTGAAAGTTTAGGTACTGCAGTGACACATCTGAAAGTCCGGGTATTAACTTGACACTATCCCCAAAGTTTAGGACATTAAAGTGGAATTTTTCCTATAAATAAAGGTCCAGTTTGCATGAGGGTCAAGTCTAGTTTTATTCTATTGGGTCATTATGCCCCCAAAGGTCATATAACTAGTTATGCCATAAATTCCAACGTGTTTACTCCTGATTGATGATAAAGAGTTTTACATACAACATGACATGCAACATTAATGAAAGCACTTAGGATCTGCTACCCACAACCCACATCTTTACCCACGGAACACCACCACCATGTATTGGGAACATCTCTTCATGAATGACAAGGGAGATGTTCCCTAATGTCTCGTGGATAGCAGATCTAGTCCCCATAAAAGGCCATTAGTCAATGTTGGTCCAGGGGTAGGTCTTGAAAGGGGAAGTGGGTATGGTCCCAATCTTTGCTACCTTTCACACAAATTGGCCACCCTCGTTTTCAAATCCGCATTCTCACATTTGTCAACCATCACACTAGGTAATGGTCCCCTGTGGTTGGTTATCTTGAAGTTTTATTTCAAATTTTATGAACTAAGAGGGTGGTTCTCTTCTTCTTCTCCTTTCTTCCTCTCTTTTTGATTATCAAAGAAGACTTGAAACATTTCTTTTAATTGAAACTTAAAACAAGTTTAGTATAAAGCTTTCATGAATACATACACAAGTGACAAATATTTGCATTAATGAAATATTCATGAAACTTTTATACTGATAACATGGATATTGTTCACAGGGTGGGTGGGTCAGTATCAATTGGGGCTCTAAAAGATCGAGTTGAGTTCAACAATTCCATTTCATTGTGTCAAGTTTAGTCTCAGACGCATTAGGGTTG